TGGGGAACTGCCATCCTTTGATTTAACCGTGTTTGGTCAACTCAGACAGCAAGACAGGGTAAATTATTTGTTATACGGTGATTGCTCATTATCGTATCTGACAAATCAGAAAATTGTTGAAATGACTGCAGGTTTTCTGCAGTTAATTGTTACTATTTTAAATGAGTAAGTTTTTATTTTTATATACTGTTCTGCATTACCGAGTTGATCCTTAAATCTCATTGCAACTTCACTTTACATTATATAAATTCTTGACTACCAGGGCCAATAATGCATTGCTTCGGCCCTTGCTGTGTTTGTAATTTGTTTTGTTTAAATGATAATAAAAAAACTTTAAACCTAAAAAAAACCATTGGTAATAGAGGGGGAGATCTCCCAAAGTTCAGTTTTCGTATTCGGTCACGGGGTATCAATGTGCTAGAGCCATATAAGGTTTATAGGACCATGTAGAAATCCAACTGACCATATATTTTTTTAGATGGTGATGCCTAAGGGACAAAGGACCTCTGTCCATTGTCCAAGAAGATATTTTCAAAATGATCTTTGAATTCAAATTTTAAAGAAAATACATGCTAAGTTGTCTCAGACTTGTCATCAATATTTCAGGAAAACCACTTTATCAATAAAACATGCAAGAACAGACTTGTGCCAAGGTTTATGAACCTGACTGGTTTTGAGCATGCTAGGTCTTATTTAATTAATCATTGTCTCACATGAGACATGCTGGCAACACATCATGTAAATTAATTACACACAAACACCATGTGACCAATGCTAGGTCTTATTTAATTAATCATTGTCTCACATGAGACATGCTGGCAACACATCATGTAAATTAATTACACACAAACACCATGTGACCAATGTGACTATTGGATTAATTTCTAATTAGAATAACAGCATAGCCTTGCCCAAGTCGGTCTCTTGTACTTATACTTATCTTGATCTTGATGACCAATCGACGACGGCGCTGCAATGTTTATGCACATTCAAAACAAGTACACTTTTCATGAAAAAATCTTGCACAATTCATCATAAAAATACAAATATTTTATCAGATGAATATCAACCAGAGTTCAGTGGATGCTTGAGCATTGATTGGATACCCGAAGCTGAGAGAATTTCAACAAAATACGCTGAAAATGGGGCTGAAAAGGACAATCGCTAGACTGATCAAATACTGAACATGATAGCTCTAGATCTCTAGGCCTAGCTTAGATCCGGATCAGATCGAGACCATATCTTCACTCATTTTCATTACAAATTCAGTTTTAAATCAAAATATAATTGCGTAGTTTAATTAATATCAATGACTGCTTGCATTCCAATGTACATGTACATCTAATTGCAGAATATATTGTAACTCAGAAGAAATACCGTGGAAGAAATACTCGATCAAATCATTGAAAATTTTCAAGCCGTAGTTTCCTTTGTTCATTCGGGTAAAGTTTTTTTTGATTTGCCAATCAGCCGCCAAGCGTCGAACTTCCAACATGCGTCCATAATTATTATTACAGTTTTGCGATACCCCTGACAAATACGCATAGAAATTATGGAAATCCTGAAACCTATGAATAACTTAATATCAGCAGGGATGGAAGGGGTGCCACAAGGTTGTATCTAATTGAAAATCAAGATAAATATAAGATAATACAGACTTGGGCAAGGCTAATAACAGCAGTATTGACTTCAATCCTCTTTCCTCTATTCCTGAACCAAATGTTGTAACCATGGAAATCATAACATGTTAGTAAAAATGACAATGAACTGAGGAATTCTTGTTTAAATAAAAACTATATGATTATCACAAAACTTTGTAAATAATTTGTGGCATGTCATTTTGAATGTGTAATGCAAATAAATTGCTGTAGTGGTACTTTTGAAATTTGATCCTTGAATGTAAAAATAAAAAATAGAAAAGTTGTCATTGTTTTTTTAAAACCATGATTATTGGAACCGGTTTCACTTCTCGGCTATGATTATTTTAGTCCTATACAGACTCAACAGATCTGTGCCATTCGTGTTAATTCCCAAAATGTAAATTAAAAAGTTTAGGGAAACTCGCATGTAACAGTAAATATGTAATCAGATACCCCCAAAGTCAGTTTGGTGTTGCTCTTTTTTAAGTGAGTTGTAGAAAATAAAATTATCAAAATAATACAGTAAGTGGAGAGAGGATTGCATTGAGGGAAGATGCACAATTTTGCACAATTTCTTGTGACAATGTAAAGTTGGATGATATGCGCCATTTTCAGATTTAAACTTTTTCAAAATTCATTTAGCGATCATGTCCTGACTTGTTTCCTGACTTATCCTTGAAATCTTTGATGATAAAATACATTTTATAATATTAATTCATAAAATACATTGTATAACAGTATTTGTGAAATACATTGTATAATGATATTCTACAAAAGACATTGTATAATAGTATTTTATAAAATACATTGTAATAGTATTTTCTAATTGCATTTTTCACATTTATCAAATTCATTAATTGTGACACCTGATATTTTTATAAAATAAGAGAATGCATGTAAAAGACATTGTACAGGGTGGGCCAAAAAAAACAATACCCAACTTTAAATCAGAATGAAAATAGCTATGTTCAATATGATACATTGATTTATATATCATTTTAAAGGTGATCCATTTTGGAACAATTTGGTATATAACACTATGTCATGAAATCAATATTAAAGTTTTATTATGCTTATTTTGGGGGCTGGGTCGGTATTTAAGGTATCCAGATTTTAGGGAGAAAATAATAAATCTGTGGAATAATGTTATTTTTTATTTATAGAATATCATTTTGTTAGGTTAATACATGCTTGTAGTTGTGTGACTAAACTTATTGTTTAGTGTAGTTTATAATCAATAAGTACTTAAAATGAGTCTGTTAAAAGGTATTAAATGTATATGTGACGAGGATTTTATTTTCCAACAAGACATTGCCTCGTACCATAGATCTCAGGAGACATTGGCATTCCTTTGCAAACAAGGTGTCAATTTGATTGATCTCGATGCTTGGCCACCCAACAGCCCCGATGCTACATGTAATGTATTTTATTACCATACATGGATCCATCTCGAGGAAATGGTACAATCAAAAGCATCCAATAAACAGCATTGATGAGCTGAAACAGAATCCTAAAGTGCTGAAATGAATTGCAACAGAAATCTCTCAATAAGGCTATTGATAGATTGGGCTACCACTTGAAGCTTATTGTTGATGCAGAGGGGAGGGGTGGGGTATATTGAGCAATTGTTAAAATTGTTTAAATAAATAAAGTGTAAAATGTTATTAAACAGCACTGAAATTCATAAACAATAAATTTAGACACACAATGATGCAAATATCAATATCCAAGCATGTATTTACCTAACAAAAGAATGATATAAATGAAATAAAAAATTAACATAATTCCGCAGATTTACTATTTCTCCCTTAAATCTGGAGACCTTAAATAGCAACCCGGCCTTCCAAATAAGTATAATAAAACTTTACTATTGATTTCATGACAAAGTGTTATATACCAAATTGTTTGAAATTGTATAACCTTTAAAATGATATGTAAGTCAATGTACCATATTGAATATTTTTATCCTGATTTGAAGTTGGGTATTGTTTTTTTGTGGCCCACCCTGTATATTAATGATAACATTCCCCAGATCAGCATTCTTCTTCCTCTGCTCTAAGTAACTTAATGATACATTTATGATGCAGATGACAATGTTATATGTTTATCACGGTATATAATTAAAACTGTCAGACACAAAATAATATCTTAAATTGTTTAGTCACATAATTTTTATTTTATATGTCTCGAAATGTGATATATAATTGGCAGTTCAAATCTTGATGATAAGCCATCTGATCATTCACATTTCATATGATGACTGAGCTAATCACTAATTTCACTATAAGATTATGCATAATATAAATACAAAACTGCAATTATTTCTCTCTATGTGCATCATTTTCAAGCAGACATAGGTTGTGATATTAGGTTCATAGATATATATTCACTTCTTACATCAATCAGAGTTTAGATATCTTAATGTCATCGGGAAATTGATTTTACAATTGATGAAAGACTTGAGTACCTTTCATTTGTCATTGTCAGGAGAATATATGTCCTTTCGGTATGAACTAGATCAAAACATATATTTCTAAACATATTAAGTCTTCTGTGCCATTTTTAAGTCACCACCAGAGAGTGGTGACATAATTTTGTAGTTGACAGATAGTCAACATCTTTTTTGGATGGTGGTTGGTGTTTGGTGATTGGTGGTTGGCATCTATAACAAATGGAAGGTAGTGGCATTTTGCATGCTGATGCCTTGTTTCAATCTGTCAAATTTTCATGTTAAAAAGACATGTGAACACCTGCCAATTGACTAGATGCAAGGATAAATAATCTTGATTTACGTCATTAAATAATCATAATTCAGTCAAAGTGATGTCATATTTGAAATCTACATGTAAAAGTACAGCTAGAAGGAATATGGTTTCGGATATTGTTAATCAACTTTGAAAATGAGATTTTTTTGAAAATGTGACTTCTAGTTCGGGAAGATTCCCCATAGACCCCATGTTATAAAATCACAAAAAGTTAAATATCTTTTGTTGTATTGGACAGATAACATCTTCTTTAACTGGACATATTTTAATTTGCATATCTATTAGATACACAAGGGTGATATGAAAATTGAACTTCTAAAACAGATGAATATTTAAGTTAAAGGGAACTTTCTATTACCTGCCATGCTATCTGACCCAAATTAGCCACCTGGTGGTGAAACTGATTCCTACCTACTCGCATCTGAGTCATTCAAGCAATTAAAGCTTGGCATTCAGATTAGACAGGTTTTAATGCACATCAATAAGAGCAACTTGTTTTCATCAAGTCCACAATAGTCCATTTAACAAGTTTCTTGCAGCAATGTTCTGAGTTTTTGTTTAGCTGACTACATGTAGATGTATTACTCTATTATAGGAACCAGATGCCTCAGCTAGAAGACCCTGTATTACGTACTGAAGAAAACATCAATCTTTTGAGACGCATTGTCTTCAGGACGATGCTAATTCATCAATGCTTTGAAGAGGTCTTAAAGGTTCCATGTGATTCCATAAAAGAACATTTTGCAACTTTTGACAAGCTTGTTAACTGTCTGAACTGTTACTTCACTGACATAGGGGTAGATAAACATGTAAGTACTTAAAGGAGGGGGAGTTGTTTGTAGAATGAAGGGGAGTTTTTTCATGCTTTTTTGCTCATGTTCTTCATCCAAAAAACATCAATACACTTTAAAACATTATAGAGTGTATTTTTACAAAGAAGGTGGAATTGTTTGTAGAATGAATCGGGGGAGTTTTTTCAAGCATTTTCCTTGTTTTTCATCCTAAAAACATCAATACTTTTTAAAACATTTTATTGACTAAAAGATTGCACCATATAATCCTGAAAAATATTTCTCATTTTCAAGGATTATCTATGGATTAACACCCAGGGAATCATTGGTCCTATTTGCTTTTGAATAATATTATTTATCAGATGGATACTAAATATATATGGGGATACAAACACAAGATAATTTTCGTATACGCCACTAAAATTGTATCCTATCTATATGACGTGATATCCAATCTTATTCCATAGTTAGCATGATATCCATAGGATAACATGTCAAAATAAAAACGGTATTTTTGTAATCAGTGGTAAAATATGATATTTTTGACAAAGGATGTGTCTGGGTATATGACCTTTTGGTCCCTCAGTCAAATGTATGTGAAATATGGATTTTATTACTGTCCTAGTTATATTTAATAAGTATATTTACTTTTTCACGAATTTTGATGCATAATTAACCCCCTGCTGAGAGTCAGAATAAGTATCTTAACAAACAAAAAAATAGTTATTATCATAGAAAAAACACCAATGGCAACATGTATGACATACAAAGAAGAAATAAGTTAAGACCGATGAAGAATTAAAAAAAAAATCATATTTTTGAAATATATTTAAGGATTAAAATTTTTTTCAAATTTTTGAATTTCCCGCCAGTTTAATTTGAAGAGGGAAAAACAAAATGGTTGCCATTTGTTGTAAGAAATATCAGGAAAAAAGTTGCTTCACTTTTAGTTTTCACAATGAGCACAGTTTTCCGGTTTAGGTTTTTTGACTGATTCTGACACTTCATCACCAGGGTCATGTATAGAGATTATAAAATTGAAACCAAAATGTTGTGCTCAGCATGAATTTGACTGAAATATGGGTAACATCACCAACACAATTGAAGTCTCAAAACTGGATGCTCAGTAACTTTGAGTGACTATAATCCCTTGATTACCCAGATAAACACCAATTCACTCATCCAGAAATACCATTCAATGTCTATTCAAAGAAAGTAACCAATGTTTTGGAAGATATGTTTCAAACTTTTTGCATAAATAATTCATTTAATATTTGCCATTGATTTTTTTTTCAATTCTGACAAAGTGATATGCACTGTCTTTGATGCCAATATTCTTCATCAATTGTGATACAAATTGATATTTTTGTAATCTCAGAAGAAGGATAAGATATTGAAGTTTAATAATATGTGTGATTGAGTTGGTTTTTCAGACATTACAATTTTCAATATTTTCTAAGTCGATACCCAGACTCATTCCCAGACTCATCCTTTTCACTTAACCATAGCATACGGTGTTTTAGCCATGACATACGGCGCCGTATGCCATGGTTTATGGATTTTTGCTACTTCAGACTCAAAACGAGGCTAAGTGTCAATATCGCCGTATCGTTTGGAAAATTTGTTTTAAATCACTTAATTCCCGACGATTCTGATGATGACTTTAACTATGGAATAAAAAGAACATCCTATGATTTATCGCCCTCGGTCGCCCTCGGTCAATATGATATTTTCCTTGGCCAATATCATATTTTCCCTCGGAATAAAATCCATATTCCATCCCTCCCATTAAATAACCTCTATGTATCCGACGGATACTATTTTAAAAAAAAAATACTTGAAAAATTTGAATTTTAAAAAAAAATGAAAAAAATTGAAAAAATTTGGAATTAATTTGGAAAAAAATTTGAAAATAAAATTATAGGAATAAAAAAATGAAAAAATATTTTGGAAAAAATTGAAAAAAATATTTGGAAAAAATTGAAAAGTTCCAGGTAGACTGTAAATCTAGTAAATCTAGTAAATCTAGTAAAACTAGTAAATCTAGTAAATCTAGTAAAATCTTGTAAAATCTTGTAAAAACTTGATTATTCAATGTCTAAGATATAAAGTGCAAATGTCGAAAAAGCACTGAAAATGCCTTTGTATGAATGAAATGAACATGTAGGAAAAATTCTACCTTTTATTTCATTATATTTAGTTACAAAACAACTATATGTTAGTACTGGATAACAAAATGGTTATCAAATGGTACACCCATTTTATCATCATACACAACCCACCCAAGAAGCATGCTCTATTAACAAATTAAGTTACATATTTAAAGACAGACTTTCTGAACCACCTGGTTGCTCATTAGACCTTATAAGGCAAGTCACATCCATTAGGCTTGTCAATCAAATCCTTATCCAATCAGCTAATAGTGATGCTTTATGGGATAATATTTATGTTTATAAACATAACAAAAGCACATGATCTAATTTCATACTTTACAGTCAGTGAACATGAACTGAATGATAGCAATTGACCAACATTTTTTTTAACCAAGAGTCTTCATACATTTTGTTATGCTTGCTACATAGATTTTCCAGTTAATATATGTAAATTAAATGTAGGTCTCCTTTAGGTAAATTGATTCATGTTCTAATAATCCCTAACATCTAAATTTGATATCATAAAGCAATTGCTTTTGGGGTCATTTCAAGAATTAAATGTAGATACCAGCACAAAAGCTTGAAATGTATGGGAAATTCTGTACAAATTGAAAACTTGTATTGGTTCTTTCATCTGGTCCCTACCTACCACAAAGGGTTGCACTAAGTTATGCCCTTCATTTATGCAATAATTCTGCACTTTTCAACCTCTATTACCATGTTGTACCAGGGTGTCTCCAAATTTGAAATTGATGATCTTTTATATTTATGTAACCATATGCAAATGGTAAGAGATAATGAATTGTCCCATTTCCTAGGGTTGTTCCATATGAGACCTTTTCTTATAAATTTTCCCTAAGGTAAAAAACCTTTGTAAACAGGTTTTTGGACAAATGGAACATCAAAAATAGTGACTTTGTCCTTGTGTTGATCAGGAGACCTCATTCTTACACAGTCATTATACAATGAACATGTTTCAATGACCAGAAAAATAGAGAGCTGATGTTCAAGATTGAAATAACAGGATATGAAACAATAAATTAAAAACAGAGCTATCTTCACACTGACTTGCCGAAAGTACTCGTAAAAGCAAGTTTGAGCAAAAAGAAACTTTGGTAAAATCATCAAACTCTAGAAAAGTCAATAGATGAGTTTCTTATATCAATGTTAGCCAAGTGAACCATGGCCAAGTACATTGTAGTAATCTCAAGTCTTTGGAACAGTATACAGTTATCTTGAAGTCTTTTAAGCAAATACATCAAGCAAATACATTGGATTTTGTAATTATATGATGTCTTTGGAGTCGTATCTTTAATATACCATATGTAGGTAAGTAAATGACACATTTCTTATGATTAACAGTAGTATGAATTATGTTTAAATTGAAATGGTACTTATAACATGTGCTTTTGAAAGATTTACAAACAAACTTTACATCATGTGACCCTGAATACCTCACCTTATTGGTTGAAATTTGAATTAGGCTACTCCTCTTAATTAAAAAAATTACCAATTTTCAAATAAGGATTTCTAAAAAGGTAATGCATAATTGCAATAATTGATTAATAGATTTCAAGGAGAATGTATTCATAAACATCTGTGACAATTTTTATGGTGATCTGTTGGCTACAACTAACAGAAAATCAAAATTATTCCTCTTGGTTAGAATTTTTCATATTCCTAATATTTTCAAATTTAGAATGACTCCATTTTTACTGGTCAAGCTGATTTTATAGTGGAGGCTCTGTCTTTAAGGACTGAGGGGACAATGCGTACCATCTAAATGACACAGGCTTGTTTTTCCCTCACAAAATGTTATAATGCCTAGCCTATCAGATAATTTAGTTATTGCTTATTTTTTGGCGATGCTGTTCGATTGACAATATTTGTAGAAGTTCCAATGTGAGAGGAATGAATAAATGGCAATTTCAAAATTGGTTTTTGCCAACCCCCAAAAAATAATAAAAAACAATCAAATGCTGTAGTAAGGGGAATCTAGTGAGACAACTTACTGATTGATCTATTTGCTTTACCTATACATAAAGTATAGTATGGCATTTCTACAATTCTTTCCATTTACGTTTTGATGATGATATGTTCCTTGTATTCCTTGTAATTAATAGTTTAAAGCCATATCATATCAGCCCCTTAAACATTCTTTTTTATTATAATATTTCACAATTTTGTTTAAAAATTTGTATTTTGATTATTTGATGAAAGGAATGACTCTGAATTTTAATGCAGAGAAGGTATTTTTCTAATGTTGTAACATGAATCATAATCACCAATACTCTTATATAGAGACTGACATTGATATCAAATGAATGGTCCCTAAAAAGTTTACAAGATTTTACAAGATTTTACTAGATTTACTAGGTTTACTAGATTTACGAGATTTACTAGATTTACTAGATTTACAGTCTACCAAAGTTCCAAGGTTATATGCTCAGTAAAAATGAGTTTCATGCAATCATTTTGTAAAAATAATGTTACGGAAAATAAAATGGAAAAATTGAATAGTATTAGAAAACAACAACTTTAGGTCAAATTATTTGAAGTCCATACAAAAATAGCGACCATCGGATAAATATGATATCCTATGATTTTCTCGGCTATCATTTTTATCCACTCTTGGATATCGCCGATCTCCACTCATTCGCTGCACTCACTCATGGAGATGAGCGATATCCACTCATGGATAAAAATGGTATCCCTCAACAGTACTGGCGGTAGCCTCAACATTTTGTGGGTCACATGACCCAGTTCAATCAAAAAAGTGGGTCAAACTTGGAAAATGTGGGTCAAATTGAATTATGATAATAAAGCGTCATTTTCGGATAATCTAAAGTACAAAAATAAATGTGCTGCAATGAGACTGAAAATCAGCTTAGGCCAAACGGCTGGGTGAAACATAAACCAAATCAATGGATAATGACCAAATAGCAGTGCGGCGCAAACTAGGGGGTCTGGGAGCATGCCATCCCCCGAAAATTTTGAAATTTAGACCCTCTCTTTATATAAACAATAAGAAAAATAAGAAAAAATTGTGTTGATAGAAAACTTTATTTTTATTTTTTCAGATAAATTATGCAGATTTTTGAACTTTTTTTTTGAAAGCATTTAACCATAAGATAAAATCAGTATTTTCCTGCCACTTGTATCAAACTGTACATGAGCAATTGATTTCAATAAAGCAGATCAATACATAATTTATTGTAATTAATTTTTTTCTTAATTACTTTGTTTTTCAATGTTGTCCCTTGTTCCTCCTCACTCTGGTGTCAATTAATAAACTCAATACTCCTTTCTTACACATTATCAATCTCAATGAAATATAAGGATCAACACTCTGACTTGTAATATTTTATTTGTTTTCAAATGTTGCCCTTTGTGCTTCCTCACTATGATGTAAGATAATGCCAAGAAGATCAATTGTATTAATTAAACAGTTTGTTTTCAAGTTTATGTGTAATTGTTAATAATAGTATCCATTGAAAGTTGGCAGGACAGTGATAAAGGTTTTTTGCTACTGACCCATTAATCTCAAAGCAATGCGTTTTGGTTTGAGAGGTCAATCAAAATGGTGGCCGGATTACAGTAAGATAATTATTTCAGTGTTTCTCTAAAACACTGCTGATTATCTGCCTATTATACTTAGATTTTGTCTTCACAAGGTAGGCCAATTTATATTCTTTCATTTGATATGTTAAACTTAATTGAAAGCCGGAGATTTTCGTCTGAAAGCCGGAGAATAAATCTGATCGGTAAGATATCGGTCAAAACATTGTTTTTTCTTGTGTATTGCTAATCTTCCTGGGAAATAGCGTTAGTCTATCTTGGGATCAAAGTGCGTCAATGAAACGCAATTAGTTGTCAATTCTGCGTCAGACTTGATCAAATGTGCGTAAAAACGGTAAAAAACGGCGTTAACGCCAGCTCTGCTCAAAAATCATAGGATATCCTCTATGTACATATTTATTTATTTATATATTTCAGCTAGATGATGATAAGATCTCAACAGAACAGTTGATGAAGTTCTACAAAGCTGCTGACAATAGAGAAATGCTGCAAGTAGGATTCAACCAACTACTTGATATACAGGCATTATATCAGAAAAATATGCACCTCTTGAACGTAAATTACAATTCAGGAATATGAGTAATGTGAGTGTAATCTAGTTGGACTAAAAACACATATTATGTAGTTATAAGGATGACCACTGCATCAGCTGGATGAGAATATAATTCAAATTAACATATAAGCATCACATCAATTTGATATGTACAGGATTCAGCGAACTATGACAACTATGTTTCTATTGAGTGTGTAACGTTTACACTGTAAACCAAGAAACACACCTGTATAAAATGTAATGACTTGATATTATCAAACACTTTATATTGAACCTTTGATAAAAAACAGAATTTTGAAATTACATAGTACTATGTAAAAATTTTGTTACCCAAAATAGTTAAATCATCGTTACATAATTATGTAAAAATTTTGATACCCAAAATAGTTGAATCAGTATTGACAGTATATACAGGGTGGGGCAAAAGTAGGTATACATTTATTCAACAATCTTTTTTAACTGAAAACCTATTTTTGGGCCTCCCTGTATAGTTGTGTGTACAGAAGTTAACAAAAAGGGAACAGGAATTCTACATGTACATGTGTATTGTATATGTGATCATGGTGAACGTTTAGTCAGTGAATTTTTTGAAGAGATGTAAATGATCTAAAGCAGTTTATTTTAGATGTTCAGGGAAAAGAGTAATACCTCAGAGTGCCAGAAATTACATTGTTTCCATGTTTTATAGAGACTGACTCAAGTGCCTTCATTTATACAGCAATTTGTGCTGAATTGTTTATAAATGTGTACTTAAAATGTTAGACTGTTCAATAATCGTGAGGTGTTCATACTTGTATCATTAAAGGATTTAAGTCCAGGATTCAATGAATTGTAAATGATTTAAATCATGTATATCTAGCTTGCATGAATCCCTTATGACCTTCTCCCCATACATCTTGTTCTAGTATAAGGGAGGGAGGGAGGTAGGTTCTATAGACCAGTATGGCTTAATATTTTACCTCAGATCATGGGCTTTCAACTAGAAGCCCATGCTCAGATGCATGTATTGCTCAATCATTCTAGTGTTTCATTCTCATAATTTATATTTAAGGAGAAGATCTATTTTCTGTTTGAGAGCACTAGTTATCCCTCGGAACGTAAGTTCGAGAGGGATGTAGAGAAGCCATCTGTCCATCAATCTGTTCATCCATATGTTTGTTTGTCTGGGCAATACTAGTAACTCAAATACTGGTTGATGGATTCGGTCCAAATTTTAAAGGCTGGTGCCTTATGAAAAGAGGACCTCTCTACTTGAAAAGGAATTTTCAATATGGCCACTTACTAGTAATTCAAAATGGCCACCATTTTTTCCCACCATTCTTTGAAAGAAATGTAATCTTATTAAATCAACGGTTTTGATTTAGATTTTATATACTAGTGCCCTTGGGACATAGGGATTGGCTCAAAGAGAAATTTTTAAGATGGCCACTGATTTCAAAATGGCCACCATTATTTGTAAAAAAATGTAATATCTGATAACTTATATACTTGTTAACAGATTTTTTCCTGAGGCCCTCAGAACAAAGTACTTTGTGGAAAGAATTTTCAAGATGGCCACTGATTTCAAAATGGCCACCATTATTTGTAAAAAAAATGTAATATCTGATAACTTATATACTTGTTAACAGATTTTTTCCTGAGGCCCTCAGAACAAAGTACTTTGTGGAAAGAATTTTTAAGATGGCCACTGATTTCAAAATGGCCACCATTATTTGTAAAAAAATGTAATATCTGATAACTTATATACTTGTTAACAGATTTTTTCCTGAGGCCCTCAGAACAAAGTTCTTTGTGGAAAGAATTTTTAAGATGGCCACTGATTTCAAAATGGCCACCATTATTTGTAAAAAAATGTAATATCTGATAACTTATATACTTGTTAACAGATTTTTTCCTGAGGCCCTCAGAACAAAGTACTTTGTGGAAAGAATTTTCAAGATGGCCACTGATTTCAAAATGGCCACCATTATTTGTAAAAAATGTAATATCTGATAACTTATATACTTGTTAACAGATTTTTTCCTGAGGCCCTCAGAACAAAGTTCTTTGTGGAAAGAATTTTTAAGATGGCCACTGATTTCAAAATGGCCACCATTATTTGTAAAAAAAATGTAATATCTGATAACTTATATACTTGTTAACAGATTTTTTCCTGAGGCCCTGAGAACAAAGTACTTTGTGGAAAGAATTTTCAAGATGGCCACTGATTTCAAAATGGCCACCATTATTTGTAAAAAAATGTAATATCTGATAACTTATATACTTGTTAACAGATTTTTTCCTGAGGCCCTCAGAACAAAGTACTTTGTGGAAAGAATTTTCAAGATGGCTACTGATTTCAAAATGGCCGCCATTTTTCGCAATACATGTAGATGTAATATTGTGTGATTTAGGTACCAGTCAATGGATTTGGTTCAAATTTGCTGATGTCCTTATTAGGAATTCTGAATTCAGAATGGTCACAATTTTTCAAAATATAACTCACACACCAGTTGACAGATCTGGTTCAAATTCAGTATGCTTAAGGGCGATCGAATTTTCTAGGTGGCCGTTTTATTCAGAAATGGAAAGAGGCAATAATGTTATGTTCAAATGATGATTGATTTGAAATATTGTTTGTTTGGCAGATATTATTAAAGCAGATACAATACTGAATATATTGCTTGATACAGATTTTGTATATTCTCAGGAGAATATGTATATATAAAACATATACATGTATAAATAGCAGGACAATTGACTAGAGTTACAGTTATAGCGTTGCAATTTTAAAATCTAAAATGGTGCTTCCATAGGCCTAGGCCTATTTATTTTTACCAGTTATGTTTAAATTATACAGTGTGTATACTAGAAAAGTATATACATATGCCAGTTGTACATGTATATATTGAGAACAATGGCAGAACTAATACGTACCACATCTTAATCCAACAAACGGGTTGATTCTTCAGTATAATAAACATTAAGTGATCTGGTCTGAATACTCTAAAATATGAATATGAGGGCATGAAATAAATGTCTGTGTTTAAGTTTTATAAAGCTCTTGTGTTGTTTTGTACTGTCATTCACCCAATGGCCAATATCTCATATGTTTTATCATGGGCTTTCTTAGCCCATGGTTTTATAATGCACGATGCGTAATGTTATAATGCATGTACTGTAGTCTACAAGTATTTTAGATACATGTACTTACTGGCACAACTATTTTCAGAGAACCTTTTTTCGTATTAAAATGTCAAACTCAGGACAGTTTATGCTATTCTACAACCGTCTACAACATACGACCACGTGAGTAAAGGTGGGCAAAATAAAAATCTCAGAATCTGATGATTTTAGCAATGTGAGGATTTTAAAATGAAATGACCATTTAGAATTTTTCTTGACAAAATTATCAGCACATTTCCAGATAAACCCATTAGATGATACGTGAGGCACTTTCAGGGTTTGAGTGGGAAGGATTTCCAAGAACATTGTGATACCAATTATGTCTCACGGTGTCATAAACGGGCATCATAACTAATTAATTCGTAGTCATTAAGTAAGACATCACAACTTTTCTAAAGCCGATTAACCCGTTGAGTAAGCTTATTAATTAAATTATATGTAACTCCAGCAGACTCTACCATCTCACTTTCTTCTGCGTTCTTGCATAAACTTAAACCCGAGTCCGGGCATATCACAGAGGTCAATTGTGAGTAGAGTTAGATTACATTTCATTGTTTGATTGCGTCAGTAAAACCCAAAAAATAAGAAATCAAAAAATCATTGTGCAATAATATATGGGAAAATATATTCCTATTGTACATAAATGACATTTGTTTATCTTGGATTGCTTCTAGTTTAGCTAATGAAGCGTGTGGCCTCTTATATTTGGATGCATCTTTTTCATGTTATTTTCAATAAGATTAACATGGCTGAAATTCTTTAAATTACAATTGCACAAAAAACTAAATAATCTGAAATATACAATTGTCATTCATGTACAATATGAATATACTTTTCTATATATTATCGCGCGATTAATGGTCTCCTTATTTCTTATTTTTGGGGTTCTACTGACGCAATAAAACAGTGAAATGGGCTTGAGTACTAGTGTCCTTCTACGGACGAGAAAAATTTCAACAAACTGATAAAAAAAGTAAGTATAAATTGAAAATGAACACAACTATATAATACAAAAATCGTCTAGAAACGTTTAATTAAAGTGTTTGTTTGGATGGGGGAACTGGGAACGATAGACTTGCAAAATGCGACCCGAATAACAAATAGTATTGTCATGAATTTGTGAAGTGAGAATATTCAAGATTTGAGCACTACATGTACGTATCTCTGTAGTAGGTTGACAGTCAAAATTCCGATCCGATGGGTATTTACAGATAGTTGAAAAAGCCCACCGGTAGAGCGTGTACCAATTACGCCTAGGTCCCCGATTCGGTCCCCTGCTCAGGCACTTTTCTTGTTGTGTAAAGTACTTCAGGGTGTTTGACTGAGTGGTCCACGCCTAGTTAAAAGGCTGTGGACTGTACTTGTATATGCCTGTATATGTATGAGTGAACATAAAAGAACACGGCTCATTCAAGGAAGGGTTTCTGGGTCTGTCTTACGGTATATACTCAAGAGGTATTGCTCACCTTCATTGGTGGTAAACTGATCAATATCAAATATATTATGTTAATGTAGAGATCATTAGAAATGGAACAGAATTTAGTTGGGTACCAAAAAAGAAAATGAAAAGATTTTGCCTAGACTCTTCAATATCCATTTTCACTTTCTAGCTTTTCAGAACGTTACACCTTTATTTCTAAACTACTCCAGTTTCAGATTTATAATGGATGAAGTGAATGATTTATATAAGATTCAACTGATGAATGGAACGGAGAGTGTTGTAATATTCACTTCAATAAAAATCGGAAATATTTGACCTTGATCTACCTGAATTCGTTTTTGAAAATGAAATGACTGAGGAAGATGAGAAAAAAGCCCTAGCGATACAAAGGCAAAGAAAACTACCATTGTAGCCGATGATACCAAGAACAAAACAAGTGTTTGATGTGTTTTCTCAAACAATATAGATGGAAGTATATATATATTTTTCAAATTATATTGTTACCATTCAAAAGACAATTAAATTGACGATGTAATAAACTTTTAGATTTTTTATGACTGGTTTAACGGAAACGTGTGTTCAAAAAGTTCTCCATATCGATACCACTAGACATTAAGGGTTCTTACCATGTAAATATCGGAATAGTATGCAAGGCAAACCACGTTACCAAAATATTCGTAATGGTATAACAATCAAAGTGTCAAATTTCTAGCCACTCATAGTATAGTTTAATATGTTCTACCATCGAAATAAAAAAATAAAAAATAGAAATGTCTCCCTGTTCTAAGCATTTAGCTTTTGGATTTTTGTTTGGTCAAAGTCTTTATACATAGCCATTATTGCTTTTTAATTACACTCAACTCAAAAATCAAAAATAAAGATAAACCATGATTCCATCCAATTTTTAAAGCAAAGGTAATCTTTAAACTCATCAAAGGTTTGAAGCGACGGTTACGCCCGTCATTTGTGACAACAGTATCTGACTTTACCGTTGTCATGGTATTCCGGTGTGAGTGTAGGCGATGCACCACATTTATAAAGAAAGTGCTTTCGCCACAGTCACAGTTATTAGTTTGACTGATCAGGGAACACTTGAGCATCTATTACAAACACCACGGACTGCATGTGCGGCTACACTCGACTTCACAAGAATTGTAGAGGAATAATTATTTGGACAGGATCCAAGATTATACCTTAACCGCAACACTATAGTTTGGTAAGTTTGACTTGATGACTTTTTATAAGTTTTCTTTGCAAATCAAAATTTCTATATAAACAATCCATCGATCATTTAGAAAAAGTATTTGATCATAAAACCGTCTCTGTATAGCCTTTCCCTCAAATGGGACCGTTGTTCTTCAAGTATGTCAGCTTACTGACATTCACACGACAGGATAGTTTGACAGAGATTTTTTATGTCAAGGGCACAGTTAAGCATCAGACAGGCGAGACAATATTGCCTCTCCAATATATAGCTAAAGGATATTATCTCTACCCCCCTTCTCCACCCCCCCCCCCTTTCGACGTCGCTGTATGTTCACACGGACACATCAACCATTGGCCCGAAACGTTTCAATTTCAGAGTGTTTATATACATTACCAAGTGCTGGTGATTTTCTGGAGTTTAAAATAGTCTTACCCTCCAACCTACATCTCGTCAATTTTTTTTATATCATCTTGTTGTCAATCAAAGCTTTGTCAAATCCTAAAAAAGCATCCCATGTTTTGTTTCATGATTTGAAATGTCATCAAACTATTGTTTCCTTTTAGTTACTGTGATGTTCATAGGATATCGTGTCAAAATCAAAATAATATTTAAGCAACCATTGGAGAAATATCTAGTTTTTGGAAAATGTTCATCAAACCATCGAATATCAGTAATAATTATATCATTGCTAGAACTCGTGTGATTCGATTGGCTGATCCAGTACCGTGTGATCAAAAATACCACAGTGTATTTCACAACTCCCTTATCAATTTTTGCATTATAAAAGACGTATTGCCCGGCGTATTATTAGACACCAGATGAAATCTAGAGTCTATTGTTTTTACCTATTTTCTTATTCTTATTTTTATTATACCCACGCCCGTTGATCGTGAAAATGGGACGGAGGGGGAGCAGGCAATTTCCGCTAGAAAATTCAACAAATCCGGTAAAATTATTTTTTCAAGACAGAGTTTACGATTGAATTGCAAATTGAATAAGCGCACGGTATGATAAAATATGTTAGGTATTCTAGGATTATTTTTCAACCGATACTCTTTTAAGATATAAGATCTATTAAAAAAGGCGCAACGCAACCAACGTGCAAAAGTCAAAGTTTTTGCTATAAATCAAGCAACAATGGACTACACGACCTGTAATAAATACTTGTAAGTGATGTTATCATAACTAAGTTAATGTCATTGCTGAATTTATAAAATAAGTTTCCATACGTAAAATAAAAAATAATCGAAAATAATTAAAATGGGACGGAGGGGGGAGGGGACGGAGGGGGGGGGGAGTAATAATTCTATGAAGTGAAACAACTTCACACGAATTCTTGTATTTGAAAAATGAACTCATTAACTTAGTTAGAAACTGGATGATATACCCTTGGAGACTAAAAAATGGGGACATTTGGAGTAAAAGGACTTAAAGTCGCGAAACATCTCTAATCATGTCTTATATACATATTGCTCTCCCCCTCCGTCCCCTCCCCCCTCCGTCCCAAATTCATTATTTTCGATTATTTTTTATTTCACATATGGAAACTTATTTTATAAATTCAGCAATGGCATTAATTTAGTTATGATAACATCACTTACAAGTATTTATTACAGGTCGTCCAGACCATTGTTGCTTGATTTATAGCAAAAACGTTGATTTGTGCCTGTTGATGGCCTTGCGCCTTTTTTAATAGATCTCATACCTTAGATGCGTATCGTTTCAGAAAAAATCCCAGAAAACCTAACATATTCTACCATACCGTGCGCCTATCCATTTAGCAATTCAATAGTAAACTTTTTCTTGAAAAAACAAATCTTCCAGATTTGTTGAATTTCCTATCAGAAATTGCCTGCTCCCCCCTCCGTCCCATATTCACGATCACCGGGCGTGATACCGATCACGTTTTCTCAACAACTATAAGTAGATATCTTTTCAAGACTATTATATGGTCAATTTAAGTATAGTATCTAGTTGGTTAGAAATGGGGTCAAATTTTTATCTAGGTCAAAGGTCACGGACAAAGTCAAATCTTGTGTTTTCACTATTTTATCACTTTTCTCAGTCGTCCTTCAATATCTTGGCTCCGGGTTGTTTTCTTTATGTTCCTTGGAAAAAAGCTAATTCCGATAGGCAAATCGTTTTTTGATTCGTTTTACCGTTTTTGAGATATGGCGTCCCAAAAGTAGGTCACAAAAAAATTCTCCAAATATAACATATGAGTTATGAAATTTTCCCAGAAATCTGAATCTGCAAGCCAAATTTTGGTCCGACTTCCGGTTCAGAAGTTATGGCTTTCTGAAAATTTCGAAAAAAAATCGATTTGATGGTATCATTATAGAAAGTGAAGTCAAATCCCATCCCAACCCATCCCATCCCATCCCATCAATCTATCCCATCCCATCGATCCAACCAACAGACCAACCAACCAACTAACTAACTAAATATATTTATTTATTTATCTATCTATAAACTAAAATCTGTCATCTGTAGTCTGAAATTGAACTCTTTCGATTTACAAGTTCTAGTTATCATTAAGTTAACTTATGGTAATTTATGATACATTTATTGATGATTTATAAATGTTAAAAGCTTTTAATAAATATTCTACATCATTCGAAATGCAAAATGATCGTTGAGAATGTCTAGCAATGATATAATAAAACAAATATTTCATATGTTCGGTTAATAGCCTACCTGTTGCACTTTCAATGATTTTTCCAGCATGTATTTCCCTATCCCTACGGGCTGCGGGCAATACATACTGCAAAAATCATTGAAAGATGAACAGGTATTGCCCTCCATAGAATGACATATTTGCTTAATATTTTTAACCTTGGGGAAACCACTGTAAGTCCATGGACGAAACCAGGCACTAAAATAAACCGCGACATGGGAATCTATGTTACTCCCTTTGGACTATAGTCAGTTCCAAAGTTCTCTATCTCAAATATACGTCTTGTAAAATATTGCTGATGTAGTTGCCTCGCTCGCCTCATGCCTTGCTACGCCCATGATATCACTTTAAATTGATGGAATCACACCAGAAAAAACGCTAAAAGCGTTTTAGTGGAAAGCGCTTAACAAAACCGCCATCCTGATTACACCAACATTTCTAAAGCGCCTTAGGAATCTTATTTTGGAATTACACCTGTCATTTCTAAAACGCTTTTCGGGCACTTTTAACGATGTAGATATTGAGAATATCCAGCAGATGTGTACATCTACAATAAATGTGTTATTTTAGCATCTAGGAGAAAACGCAACCGAGACTTTTGCCAATGATTTGAACTTACTTTCAATTTTTACGATGTAATTTGATGACCTATTGAATAATTTTGGTCCCATCCATTATTTCCTTATTTTTGCGGTGGCCCAAATGTGTAACATTCGAAATACGTCTTATTTCGTTTAGGGCAATTGGTAAAAACCCGGCTAAGGCGTTTTACAAAAACCGATCGGCATATACACTACGTTTTTTAGTGACTAGGGTTCTAGGAGTTTTTAAAAAGCGCTTTTGTAAAACCGCAATCGTGATTACACCTATTTTTCAAACCGGGTTAAAACCTTAGGCGCCTTTCTAAAACGCAATTCCAGCAAATCAATCATTACTATCCCGTTTTTAGAAACATGCATATTTTAAGCTATATCGGCACCATTGACCGTGTTATAGTATTTTATTTATTATCAAGTGTTATATAATTAAATTAGATAGAAGTATGACAGTACTTAAGTAGTACGTTGTTAGCAACATATTTCATAACTGTGGTGCAATGTACCTGTAATTACTCATCAAATGTCTTATGAGTTTCATAACAGAAAAAATTAATTGCGGAAATTCTACAGAGTCAGCACAATAGGCTTTCAAAGGTTAGAATGTTACACATAGTTGCAAGACCTTATTTAATGGACAACCCACGAGCACTGGGTATAAGGTGAAACAATAGTCAATGGCCGAAGGACCGAGGATATTAGTTCTCCTAAGACCTAGTACCTCACTGACTCTTATGAAAGGTAAATGGCCCAACTGTGCCACAAATGTGCCACTCTGATTTTTGACAGTTTGCTCAGTACAATGAATGTACTGTTCTTTTGTTACAACTGTACATTCTTTAAAATAAGCTACAGCTTATTCTATTGTGTTGCCACCTGAGTGGGGTTTAATACTGATAATCCCACCGAACGAAGTTCGAGGGGAATATAGGAAAGCCGTCCGTCCGTTCGTCCGTCCATCTGTCCGTTAGTGTGTCCGGACGATAACTCAAAAACCGGTTCACAGATTTAATTAAAATATATAGGCTCATGCCTTATGGGTGTAGGACCTCTGCTCGAGAAGGACTTTTTAACATGGCCGCTCAATTCATATGGCCGCCATTTTTCGTAAAAAAATGTAATCGTTGATATCTCATAAATTAGTTGATGGATTTGGTTCAAATTATATATGCTGATGCCTAGGGACGCAGGAGCTATGCTGAAGAAGATATTTTCAAAATGGCTGCTAAATATCCAAATGGCGGCCATTTTTCGTAAAAAAGTAATCTTTGATAACTCGAATACCAGTGAACGGATTTGGTTCAAAATTTAGATGATGATGCCAATGGACAAAGTAGATTTGTCCAAGAGAGAATTTTCAAGATGGTGTCTGAATTTAAAAATGGCCGCCATTTTTCATAAAAAACGTAGTAAAATACTAGTTGAAGGAATTGGTTCGAATTTTATATGCTAATGCCTAGGGACAAAGGAGCTACGAAGAAGGGATTTTTAAAATGGCTGCTTATATCAAAATGGTGGCCATTTTCATAAAAGATGTAATCTTTGATAACTCAAATACCAGTCAACGGATTTGGATCAAACTTTATATGATGATGCCCAGAGACAAAGTACCAAAATAGCGGCAGTTTTTCGTAAAAAACATAATCTTTGATAACTCCAATACCAGTGAACAGATTTGGTTGAAATTTTATATGCTGATGTCTAGGGACACAGTGAAGCTCTGTTCTAGAAAGATTTTCAAAATTGCGGCTGAATTTCAAAATGGCTGCCATTTTCATAGAAAAAATCTAAGCTTTGATAACTCAAATGCCAATTGACGGATATGGTTTTTACAATTTACATGTTGATGCGTAGGGACCAACAAGCTCTGTTCAAGAAGGAATTTTCAAGATGGCCACTAATAATCAAAATCTGTTTCGTTCGGTCGGATTTGCTACTCCTTGGAGTTGCTGTTTTTCTAGTTATGAAACAATAGGCTAGGATCAGATGTCAAAGATAGAGAGCCCTTAATTATATTTTGACGAGGAGGTCGTGCTTACGAATTGGAAAGTTATATATATTTCCTAATTGATATTGAGATTTGCCAGGAAAAGGGTGTCGATATAGGTTGTTGCTTTATTAACAAGTCATTGTGTTGCCTACTGTATGATAATTAGTATATATTGAAAAATCAAAAATTAGAAGGATATTATGGAAATATTATGATCATAATCATGGGCTTTCAAGACATGTCTCAATTAAGGCGCCTACCGCACAATATGAGGTATGTATTCTCCATTATTTATTTAGGAATAAACAATGATAGGCCATTCGATATGGCGGAATTCAACACGAGTTGGATAGAATGTCGTACAAAGCACGAACCGAAGACGGTCAGGAGGGGGAATAGCCCAAAATTCGGTTTTCAGGCAGGGGGTGTGATCGTGGCATAGGCGAGCCAAAAAAAGATTTGTTTTGAATTTTACAAAAACCGATGCAACTTCCTTCAAAAATGAGCTAGAAGCTTCAAATAAAAAGAATTCTTTATCTTCTATCTAATAGTTTTATTTATTGGTGGGCGGGAGGTTCAGCCCTCGTAGCCCTGGCTACGCCTATGGAATGTGAGTGCATTTGTAAGTACATACTGACCTGTCCAACGAGTGTAGAATTTCACCATACATATTGAATGGCCTATCATTAAAAATGAAAACATTGTTCGAAGAGTAACGGGTCCACGAAATAACATAACTTGCTGTTATTTTCAATTTACATTTTTTGATACTTTAAAAGCGGAGCCATACTAAGTGTAGATTGGCCATTTTAGGTATTTATGTAAAGTTCAGAGGCCTCATCACCCATCACTCATCATCTATTTTAAATGCGTCAATCTAAGAGTTTCTTTGTTGATTGCGTAAGTATGTTCTTTTCTAATAAGGCGACTGTGTAATAAAAACTTCGTTTATGTTTTTCAAAAGTGCTTAAATCAAAGGAATTGTTAATGGTATGAGGGGTGTTTAAAACCTTCGAATTGTATAACTTAATCCAAATTCTGATCGCAAATCCAAGAAAACGAAACGCGACGTTGACGTTGGTTTCGTCATCGCTAGAAATGCAACAGGCAACTTACAAATGACAAATAGGGACTTTTTTGGAATAACCCAAGCATCTGTCTCGAGGTGGTGGGAGAGGTGTCCACTATTATGTCAAAGTACAGTATATTGTAGTTTTTTTCGATAGGCTCTAACTTTAGTGAATCAAGATATTTCTATTTCAAGGCATTAAAAGGTCCAAGTATAAAGTATAGAGATTTGTTATAGATAATATCCAGGAGTTTCACTTAATGACACCTTTTGCCAAGGTCAACTTTCCCTCGAAATAAACGTCCATGGAGTTATTTTGAAAATGATATAAGAAATTACATTGACCCCGCATTCGAACGCAAATCGATGGTTTCGATGTCACTGAAATAATTTTAACATATACGGTCGAATATTGGTATTTACTGGAAAGGTGAAAACGTCCTTTACCCTAACGATATTTTTATCGTACCTAACAAAAGGTACGATATTGTAGTCAGCTTGACGGGCGGCGGGCGGGCGGCGTCTCACTTTTCAGCTTGTCTACAGGTTTCCAGCCAAACCATTTGAGGGATTCATCTGAAATTTTCAGGGATGTTTCTACATATCAACGTCAAGAACTGATTAGTTTTTGGGCATTTTATGTAAATCTTAAGATGGCCATTTTGGATTTTCCGTCCTAAAATCTTCACTTTCAAGACTTGTCTACAGGTTTCCAGCCAAACCATTTGAGGGATTCATCTGAAATTTCCAGGGATGTTTCTACATATCAACGTCAAGAACTGATTAGTTTTTGGGCATTCTGGGTAAATCTTAAGGTGGCCATTTCGGATTTTCCGTCCTAAAATCTTCACTTTCAAGACTTGTCTACAGGTTTCCAGCCAAACCATTTGAGGGATTCATCTGAAATTTTCAGGGATGTTTCTACATATCAACGTCAAGAACTGATTGGTTTTGAGGCATTCTGGGTAAATTTTAAGGTGGCCATTTTGGATTTTCCGTCCTAAAATCTTCACTTTCAAGACTTGTCTACAGGTTTCCAGCCAAACCGTTCAAATTTTTACATATGTTACACAGTGATAAGTTCTAGAGCTGATTAACTTTTCTGCGGCCATCTTGCTTTCTTGGTCAACAAGACCACAATGCTGTGTTTTAGGTACGATATTGTTCACGTCTGTGCCTTGTTTTATTTAGAAGTAAATAAAAAACGACTGTGGACTATTTCTAGGAGCGGATGTCATTTAGAAGCAAACGTTCTGATATAATGACTTGGCTCCTAGACGTTCCCTGCTCCAAGAAGAAGGCGAACTTATTTGAGTTTGAAATATGAAAATGTATAGTCACACATCATTAAAGGAATATCGCGAACGGGAAAACGTCACTGCATATATCAATACACCCTCTCACCCGAGTGCACACTCATCAGTTAGTACATGCTCTCATCCGAGTGCACCTTTCGTCATTACATGCTCTCAACCGAATAAGGTTTCGTGTGTACAGGCAGCTCTCATCTGAGTGCATCCTTCTCAGTACACTATATCTAGATCTCACCCGTGTGAAACCAAGTCATACATACTCTAACCCGCGACCTGGGTGCACCCTCGACAGTTCATACTTTCACCAGACGAGTGCACCCCCAATAAGAGATCTAGAGTGTGAAATATAAGAGTGAATAATAAAACAAATATTTCGTATTATTATATACCCAATATGTAACACTAATCCTGATTGGTCAATACCTAGTCACGTGTTCCGAAATAGATTTACTATTTCCCTCGGAAAGTTATATTCCCTCAAATGTGACGTCAGCGGGAACATACATTTGAACTATTGCCCGCTGACGTCACAATTGCAAGCTCTATTACCCTTGGAAACGTCTGCTCATCATCACTGCGCAGACGAAAAACAGAAAAATGGAGGATGAGCACAAACACAAATCAACTCCGTTCACCATGACAGACGTGCGTGAACGATACAATATAAGCAACGTGTATAAAGTTCCCTAAGCTCGATACGTCTGTGTAATTTCAAGTGTTATGATAATCTATTCCGCGTGTTAAACGCGATTGAATTTGTCAAGTGAGAGTCTCAGAGGCAAAAATTTCTGTTGAGCATCTGATGACGTCACAGCTTATAATGCTAACCATGGACCCGGGGAGGGGGCTTTCTAAGCCTTTTTGGCCTTCGCAGAGGAAACGGGACAAGAGTCAGTATAGGGTATATAATAAAACAAATAGTGACTGCCTAATTTCGAGCAATAGTGTAAATGATTTCCCCTTGGGAATATCCTCTACAATGTACTATTCCCTCAGCCTGCGGCTTCGGGAATAGTACATTGTAGAGGATATTCCCTCGGGGAAATAATTTACACTATTGCCCTCAATGGCAGTCACTATTTGTATACTATTTTCGGTGGATACCTGTTGCACGGTCAATAATTCTTCAAAATGTATGTAGGCTTCGGAAATACACTTTGCTAGAATCATTGAAAGATGAACATGTATTCACCCCAATAACTGAATTATTTGCATAACATATTCTTTTTTTATCGAAAATGAATAGTTTTCTTCTCTACATTCCTTGTTTATTATGTGGACTGGCTAGTAATATGACTTCATGCCAGGTATTACTATGATTCCCTACCAATGATTATGCCGAAACAAGATGAGAATTTACCCACTTGTAAACAATATTTTATAAGCGATGGCCCTTTATGAGCAGATAGAGCTGCGCAATAAATGATGACGAACTACACAAACTTTATAAGTTATAAACATAAGTGAGTTATAAACATGGTATAAGTGCATTACGAAATCGCTCTATACTTATGTTTCGAGAATTTGCATTGTTTACTGAGAGAAGATCTATTATGTACTGGTACCTCATGACATCACAAGTTTTCGAATCCTATTAAAACCTGTTTTACAAAGTACCATGTGAATAGAATCTTAATTTCTTCTCGAATACTGTCGTATTTGTTGATCTGCAAGACTACAATGTACATGTATATGTCTCTTTTACAGACATATTTACAAAGCTGGTCAACCAAAAGTTTAAACTCAAACGAGTCCAACAAGCGAGTAAACTAGAGATTGTCTACAATTCGCATGATGAACAGCACATCTGGATCAGTTGGGACAAACAATTCTTACACAGTAAACAACTCCACAAACATAGCAGCGGACAGAACTGTCGAACTATGGGTTATGTGTAGCATAAACATCGCCATCAGTTTGTTTGTCATCATCGGAAATAGCCTCATTCTCTGGACGGTTTACAAAGTAGAATCTCTTCATACAGTTACCAGTATGTTTATTGCGAATGTCTCAGTTGTAGATCTGTTGACTGGTTTCGTTGTAATCTCAATGTCAGTAACCACTGATTTTATCATGCCCCTGATTAAAGACACGTATACTCTGAACAAACAGTTCTGTATTGCCAGAACATTTATGTTGGCATTTTTGTATGGGTTGTCGCTGTTCGGTCTGATTGGGATCGCGATTGAGCGTTATGTAGCAGTCATATATCCATTGCGATATAACAGCCTGCTGACAGTGAACAAGGCTAAGGTCATGATTGCAAGCATATGGCTATATATTCTCACTATTTCTGTGGTAATGTTTATAGATGGAGTTAACGTGTTTCAAGCTGAACAAGAATGTTCCATGAACAATACTCTCAACCGATCATATTTCACGTTTATCCAAATAAACATTTTAGTTCCAATTTTAGTAATCGTTTTTGTATATTCGAAGATTACGTGGGTAGCGCTCAAGCACCGATCCAAGATCATCTGCCAACTAGCCAGCGTTGACAATGCGAGAGCCGTAGCTTACAAAAACGAGCATTCGATTGTTAAGGCAGCAACCATCGTAAATGTTGTTTTCATCATCATGTATGGGCAATTTGTGATCATCTCGTCAGTGAGGTCCGAGTCGGAATGGTACAAGACAGTATGGGATGTATCATCGGCCATAATTAGACTGAATAGTGGAGTAAACCCCTGGATCTTTGGTATTTGTCATAAAAAATACAAAAATGCATTGCTTTTCGCCCTCAAAATAAAACCAAATGAAGTTTTATCTGAATAACATTTAGTCAACATTCATCCTTCGAACGCAGGGCTAGGGCACCAGACATCATCCACTCTGTTAATTCCCTTTTCATGTTTTGTGGCAAAAGGAAGGAGCGGAAAGGACGATGTATGGAGCTTGCCTGGAGGGTATTTGGTATCAAATTTAACGTATTGTAGTCATGTAAAATGTTGGTTAATTTTTAGCGTTATGAAAGCTTAACGCATTTATCAGTCGTCGAACATTTCAAAATATCAGTTTTTCATTGTAACCAAACACCCTTCTGTAGGTTAACGGTAATTTTTTTTTCATAGTTTTTCATAACTTGGCAGGTGTTTTATAAATAGATACTCGACAATTTCCTCTCATTGACTATCGTGTTGTGTGTATATTTATGAATATCGACGTGTTCACAGTTCACACTGACGTAACAGCTGAAGCTATTAATTAATAATAACATGTCGTTCTGTGATTAATTATGGTCCAGAAGAAATATGGGGTATTTTGAGGATCAATCGTTTTCTTCGGATTACAATGTTTTTTTTACATTTCCAGCATTAATATAGGATGGGACCTCAAAAACAAAAACAAGTTTCAACGAAATAAAAGGACTGTGACGACCATCAAGATTCAGTCTTCATTTTAAACTTTTTCTGGGAGTTGTCATTCACATTTGACTTCACTGGATGGTGTCATTTAATCTTAATTATCTAGCCTATCTACATCATCGAAGCATTATGGTCTTTCCATTTTATACGGTTTTATTAACGTTTTCACAAGTTTCAAACTCAGAAGTAATACTATGCCAAAAGGTGGCGTTGGCCAATAGGTTAGGTGGCGGGATTCTGTTTTAGTAATTATCCTCCGCGTAACAACCAATCGGAATTGCCGAATTCCTGGCTAGGCTCTTCATACTTTCTGAAACTATCGGTCGCGTAGTCCGGCTTTTTCCTCGCGTTTATGTTGGATATCTTAGTTTATTTCACTCACAAACGGGATTAAAACTATTGCGGAATGATCAGTGACAGTGTTGAGATGCATACGTCAGTAAGTTAAGCTATGTTTCGAGTAGATAACCGAACGTCAGATTCTCATAATCGGGGAAAATATTTCTGCCATTTTGGAAGAAAGGAATAGTGACAACTTTGTCCCAACATTGCAGCTTATGATTTAGCCATTGGCGATTTATTTCTGGTTTATTTTATTTGTTGCAATATTAATTTAATGTGCTCAGAAAGCCGCACATATTTATCAAATATTTTTCGTGTATTTCGAACCTAAAACTTCGACTCAATTAGGCATACAATTTGAGCAAATGTTTAACTCGATCTCGGAAAGTTTGGCAAGAATATGCATTCTTTTTCCATTGATTTAGTTGGACATCGGCTATACATCTTTGTCAAGGATCTGTTAAAGACCCGCACACTTTTGCTGAATATGTTTCGAGTATCTTGTTGGTAAACGTCGAGCTAATTTCGTGATTCACGTGGTCGCCATATTGTTATTATGATATGAAAGGCTGTGAGCAAAACTTCAACCTTTCAGTAAATCTATCAACTTTATCTTTAGCCATCCATGATTTCATTTAGGGTTAGTGGGGCATTATCTCATTAAGTAACTTATTGGGGAACTTCTGAATACTTTGATTACATATTTCTGGTGAATATTGAGAAGTAAACTTGTGATCTTTTATGGAACATTTACGCATTCCATTATCCAACTAAATAGTAATGAGACGCGACATAACCAAAGCTTTTGATTCATGATATCGGACATACATGTACATAGTAGTGGTAGTTATAGTTGCCCGGGTTAAGTAGTGTACATAGTATTTTGTGATTTGCCGGAAATTCGCGCATTAGTTTAAAAGCTAAATCACCAAATCATAGTGTTGTAATTTTGTGATCATTGTATCGATAACACCAGAAATTCTAATATTTTGTCTGATGCTATGAATTTGTCCATTAACTTAAATATATTTTACAATCGCGGAATCATATTTACTTTAGTTACACCTATAGATGCCAGTAATTGCATTTTTTGTTGCGAATTTTGCATCCTATTTTGACATAGTTTCAAGTGCAGTACACTGCTTGATGTCATCATGTTAGATCAAACATGTTTTTTCATTGTTTATAGTTAACAAATTAACCGTTCGTTTATGTTGATATTCGTATTAAGTGCTTTATTAGTGTTTTCAGTAGGAATATGCAGAATTAGTCATATTGCGCGATCAATTAATGTTGTTTAACTTTTATTCATTTCGTCTATTACTAGTATCAATATGGACAGTCAAAGCATTATACATAGTTAATATAACGCCCCATCAAATACAATTAGAAAATACCAACTTTTGTACAAAGGACCAATAAATTAGTTTTGTTTTATATAGTTATAGAAATTAACATGCTTGTTTTATGTTGAGTTATTTGCTGAGGAGAGTTTATTATCCTATTATGTCACTAGAGTGACATATCAGTCAGGTTCTGTATTTCTGTAGCCTACTGCCAGTTGGGAATATCTGCCATCTTTCAATCAATGCAGTCTACTGCTTGATAGTCGTTTACTTATTGCCAACAGTGACATAGTAAGGTGCTGCCATCTTTCAATTAAGATAGTTCATGCATGGAAACCTGACGGAGACACACAACCATTAGATCCTTCCGCCGAGTGGGAAGACGAATAGATGGCATTACAAAAACAAAAATATAGTCCAATTATTGTAATTACATTAGCATCATCAGTGGTTGGATTTTGGTAAGTACATTAATGAAAAAGTGTATGTATGGACCAACTGTAAGACATGATTTGATGTGATTAAGGTGAATTTTCTTTAAAAAATTTGACCTTTTTGACCTGCCTCCATCTGTCAAAATCAGAATGACATTTTTTGACATTTTCTATTGATGGCGTATTCAACAGGTGAGATCTTTTGATTTTCGTGGGGAGTTTTGATTCAAACTTTTTGGACTGACAGCGGACATACTGGGGTATGATGGAATGATAGCAAAACATGTCCACAAATCTTAGTTTTCTCTGGAAGACAGATCGTTTGTATGGGAATACGCATGTTATAACAATTAGTTGAGTTAACCCGATATGTTATAGTGCTGCCCTCTTTATCAAATTAAGTCCATTCCAGAGGGACCAAAATTAACAGAGTATTAATTACATAACACAACAATGGTAACTTGAATGTTACACTTGAACTCTTATATATTTTCTTTAGTAACTTCCTGATCTATTACCGCTCGCTAACTACAATGATTAAACGTGTCAGGTCATTACAGGACCTAAAAGTAAACTCAGCTTTTGAGTGTCAAATGTCAAGTTCTCTCAATCTAGGTAATTTTCCTAATTCTCGCAATTACCACACTACCGTTCAAGATTTTGCTTTTAAATTCGGTAAGAATAGAATATATGCATTTTCTCTCTCATTTCTTAGCAATATCACATGTCAAAATCATGTTTTAAATAAAAATCTGGAATCTAAAGTCTTGAATTGAACTTTGTTCAATTTTACCAATCTAGTTATCCTTGTTCTTAGACTTGAGCAGAAACTTTCATGTTTATATATTTTCAATCATTGCACAGTAATAATGTACAGTACTATAATAGGTAAGGATACAATATTTTCACCAGCGTGTTTCACGTGTTCAGAAATGATGGTCATGGTAAGCTGCCTTCTCCCTTTCCAATTCTCGAGTTTCTAATATAACATTTACATATACCATTATAGAAGATTCCATCAAACTTTTTCACCAATCCAGTTCCATCCTCCGTCCTCCGAGTTTCATCATTTACATTGTTCAAAATCTGCTTCGTATGAGGCTGAATAAAATAACATTTCCATTGGCACCCAAAAGTCCATGTGATTACTTCACCTTTATCATTACTGGTTGTCGTACTCGTTTTGCACATATAATCTGCTCTTGTTCAGAGGTACCAGGACATATTCTGATCTAAGTCATCAGAATAATACAGGCCATCAGGCTAACTGGGCAAGTCACACTTAGTCCATACTCATTCTTAATTAAGTTATCGGTCTAAAAGCATTTGGACACTAGGGAGTTTAAGAATAGCGTAAATAGCCCATTTACATATACCTATACGCAGTTTTATTTTACCTAAGTTACAATGTATGCGATACGTTATTACCTGTAAATGACCAAAGATAGGTAAGTGTAGGACGTATCTTTTTATTCAACAAATATGTCATTTATACGAGACCAAATATCATACTTAAAATTTATGATAACTTAAAGTGACACTAATTTTAAAGATTTATCATTCGATCCTTATGGAAGTGGTCGAACACAATCATTGATGCGACAAACGACGCGATGTGATGATGCTTCAAAATGTTGAATTTACACATTTTCATCAATTGTGCACTTATTGTAAATGTATGATACTTGGGTGCAGCAATTTTTACATTAAAATTCTGTTTTGAAATTTGGCACGATAATAGATCATTTACCCGTACATCATATGCCGCGATTTGGATGTTCATCAATGATTGGTTCAAATGGTTGGTATGAAAACTGGACCCGAGAGTACTCTGTTCCACCTAGAATATGTATATTGTAAATTCTACTGTATTATATTATCATTATGATAAAGTCACAAAAATTGCAGGTTTGTGCGTCTTTTCATGCCTTTTTCTATTTATCATTGTTCTGATGACATCACATAAGACGTATGGCACATTGGACGTATGGATTTACATTGTGGACTTAGGAAGGGCCATCCGCATGAAGAGACGCCGAGGCTATAAACCCCACTTCCATATGGATAACGCAAGGCCCCATACAAGTAGGGTGGGGATGGATGCTCTAAAGGACCTAGATTGAGAGCGTAAACCACAGGTAGCTTACTCCCCAGACACATCACCCTGTGACTTCAATTTGAAGACGAAGCTCTCTTTTAAGAAGTGAAGTCAAACGAATGCAAAGGGTAAAGAGGGGATTGAGGGGCATGCGTTTTGAAACCCAAGAGGAGCCTGCCATATGAGAAAGCGATTGGCTGTTTATCAGCATGTGGATTCCAGGTCGTTTTCAAAGACTGGGTTCACAGACATCATCAATGTTTGGTAGCTGGAGGAGATGATTTTGAATATTTTGATAGAGAACTCGCCGCTAATGTCACCTTCAGCGTTAGTCACCGCCTTATTATAAAAGCTAACCATGTGTTTCATATATTTCAATATATCATAAAAAACCAGAACTTGATGGTATAAAACATGGCATACAAAGGTTTGAATTTACTGTTAATAAACAATTGCAAACAGAGTTCTCCAGCTGCACCATTTGACACAGACAGTGCAGTAATAGTATCAAATGTCCCCTTTCACACTAATGAGAATATAAAAGAGAAAATGTGTACCCTTTTGCGACATAGACTAAAGATGGACACTGCAATCATTAAAAATGTTGAACGTACCAAGGAAAGGAATGGTCACCCTGGGATTGTAAAATTGCAGGTGTCATCAAGATAAAATAAAATTGACCTACTGAGGAACAAAATGAAACTTTAAGACACAGAAAAATTTAAAGATGTATTCATCAGAAGTGCGAAA